AAACTAGCGCGTACCATCCTTCGACCACATCTTCACCTTGGTCTAGGTGGGATAGTGGTCAAGCGCTGGTTTTTTGCAATTTAAAAAAAAATAACTCAAAAACTACTGGGCCGATTTCAAAAATTCTTTCACCATTAAAAAGCTACGTTGTCATTGAGCAAGATAGGCATTGTTTAATATTATTTTTTAATTTCACGGACGGAGTCGTGGGCGAAAGATAGTAATAAACTAAAACATTCATTTCTTACAAAAGCACGTAGGTAAGCTGACTAAGAAATAAAATCAAGAAAAAAACCAACATACGTAACAGATAACAAATTTTATTTACCATACCTTTACCTTGGTATTGTGTTTGTACAAAAAGGCAGTTTAAATGGTTTCAATTTGGTCGTCTTTTGTTCGCTAATGCAACATTTAATTTGATACAACCTCAAGGTGTGAAAACGATCTAAGCTCCAAATAGTTCCTTTGTTTCGCACAAAACAAGGAAGATCCGTTTAATTCCAGAAACCGTATTTAAATTTCATTAAATCTTACATAAATATGAACAAGTACACTAATAAAATGATAATAGAAGTAACTCGGCTTCAGTGATATTCGAATTTAAAATATCATTTCGAAATGTTTCTTGGCCTGTTAAAATGTTGGCGTATTATTAAATATTTAGGCTGCGATAGGCGGCGTGGGAATTAATTTTAATGTTTGTAATGCGCTGGGGAAGGTGATACGCCGAGTCTACTATCTCTACCTCAATTATGAGAGTACGTGAAACAAAATTAATACAATTTGTAGGCAGCATATATCTCGATATGTACATTCATTATAAGGTAAAGAGAAATGTCTCTAAGAAGAATACGTAATCAAAAATCTCTAATTGTAGAGGTTACAGTAAACAGTTTTCAGACTTAGATCATTATCATTAAATGGCAGCATTGATTAGAACGATAATGTATTTGAGAATAATTGGGCCAAATCTATTAAATGTAATAAAGTAAAATAAAACGGACTTTCTGGGTTTGATTTACGTTTCGTGTAGTATATGTATGTGGGGTTGTTGCTCGATCAAATAAAAATAAACTAGTTATCTATCGCTGTTTTTAATATTTACACCATTTTACAAAAAACACATCTTGTTACATCGTCGTTCCTCTCTTTTTTTTCCTCTGACTCTCAAGTTAAAGCTAATTTTAAACGAACGTCAAAATACAAAATTCGAAATCAATTAAAAAGAAAACATATTAAAAAGAAACATGTTTAACCTCTTTATAATCTCTTATAACCTACATGTATATATCTCCTTATCCTACATCTTACTTATATTATAATAACGAAAGTGTGTATGTTTGTTTGGATGTTTGTTAGTAGATATCTCGATTAAGGCTGAACGGATCTATATGGAATTTGGCATAGATTTAGAACGTAGTTTGGAAGAACACAGTTTTTTTTTAAATCCTCCGCGGGAGGAGTCTGTGGATTGAGCCAGTTTATAATATCACCAGCATCTGTTACGCTCTTTGAGTTAAAATGAAGTTTTCCCTAACTAAAGACTATGGTAATCGTAACAAAGACGGTATTTAATGCCACCTGCGTACTCATATACGGGGAGTCTAGAAGCTATTTATTCTAAGATATTATACTTTTTGGTGTTATATTGTAGTAAGTATATCCCTGTTATAAAGATTTTCGTCACTTTGAGTAAACATTAAGCCTTAATTGAGATTCCAAGAAGCATTTTTCATTTTTAAATCAACATTTGATAATTCCACAATAGAAATAACCGGGCCTTTAGAATTTACAAAAAAAATCCCAATGTATAAGATCTAATAAACGAGTAGTAAGTGTAAGATTATTGTAATTTGTATAAAAAATAATTATATAATATCAGTGAAATCTACTTTCTTGTTTTCCTCATATTTTGTACACTTCTTTTCACAGATTTTTTGTTGCTCATTACCTGTATCTTTTGTACAAAGGGAAAGGAAGACTTAAATGTGTCTTGTCTTTTGGCTCACGTGTTGGGATAAAGGATGTCGTTGTTTCAAAAAGCTATTGTTTCACTTCGGTCGTGTTTTGTAAAGTTATTTCATTCAACATTAAGTATTTATTACGCTCGTGTAAACACTTTTGCAGACAGATCCTCCAATATTTAATATAAATAAGGGTCTCATCGTAAAATATATCAGCATGTTCCACAGTAAATCGTATGATATGATATGGAATAAACACGTGCCTGGGGCATTTAAAGGACCTCGTTCCACAATATAGAGTCACGGAAATTTTACTTTTTCATAATATAAGGTGGCAAACGAGCAAGCCACCACCTGAATCCGCCAATATGGCGGAGCGACGACTACCTTAGACAACCGCAATTACAGATGCGTAGCCTACCCTTAATCAACGGAGGAGGACACGCATACAAAAAGAGGATATTTCCCCTTTCTATGCGTCTCCTTTGTCAAATCTACTTTCCCTTGCCATCCTTTCCTTATAAAAAAGGGTGGTAAGAGAAAAAGATTTTAATTGGGCCTCCGGCACCACATTCATCAGACGAATTGCGGAATGGCTCCCATTTCAAGTCTGTCTTCTGTATGGTCGTGGTATTGCACCGGGCGAGCCGATCCATTCGTGCGAAGGTGTTAAAGCGGGCTCTACCACTGTTATGCTTATCCCTCTCGAAAGATTGGAAGGTCAAATTGTTTATCACTGCATTTTAATGTATTTTTACCATTTCGATAACACTAAATTGAAGAAAATGGTGAATAATTCTTTAATTAAATAATATTGCGAACAAAGAAATAGCAATACAATTAGTAAATACTTAAACCAATTGACTGTTCACATGAAATAAAAGGCGATAAGTATGATTATGTCAGATATTAAACTAATGACACCATTGTGAATACCATGATAATTATACAGCGTATAATAAAATATCACCAGACTAGCTCTTGCCCGTGACTCGTCCGCGTGGAATTCCAATATTCAAAACTAACTTTCACCTCTTGTTTAATATATAAAGAACTCAGTATTTATCTTAAAGATTTTAAGTTAAGTAAATTCTACTGCAGAAATGACATCTCTTCACTCAAAATTTTAAAAGTATTAACGTTTCTCGGTACAGTGTTTCGACCCCTATTTTGAACTTATAAGAAATTAATTTTCTCTGTCTCTCTGATGTCAGTGGTTTTTAGTGTGCGTTAAAAGTTAAGTCAGTCAGTTCCCTCTTTTACATATATATATAACATTAGCTATAAAACGTTTTCCAGTTCCACTTATTCAAACATATTACGTTCAGTGTTCGTGTGAGCTTTATAAAACATATATCAACATGGAAGAGAAATGGTCGTATTTCAGTTTGAAGCCACATTTAAGGAATCTGCGCTACGGTGGTTACTGTGCATTAGATCCCAGTACACCACCTAGACGTTTCTATGCACACAAAATGTACATGCGATTTGTTTTATTCGCTTCAATCATATTTATGATTCAACATGCTATTAAAGTATACGAAGTTAGTACTTACGTTTGTATATTCAATAGTACCTAATATATTTTGATGATAGTTAGAGAAGTTTACAATAAAATTGTCCTCATTTAAAGCAGTGGGAGTTAAAGGGTTAAATATTTATCTTTTAAAGGTGCGTAATGATATGAACATCGTGATGGACACGATGTTTCAATTATTCGCTTACTTCGGCTCTATATATAAGCAAATCGTGATGCTTTCGAAAGCTGATGATGTGCAAGCGCTCTTAAACACAATGAAAGGTATGAAGTGTTGTTGGTAATTTAAAAACATTTTTTTTATCATTTAAAGAGATTAACAATTTAAAAAGGGTTATCTGACATGATAGAATTTGTGTCACTGATATCTATATCTTTTTATTTACGATGGTGGTCAAATAATGATGAATGATGATGTTACGCGATTGTTATTTCATCATATCCGACATAAGCACGCCTAAAATAGAAGATCGTTACCGTGTATATAATATCTGCCTTCGGAATTAAATTCCACAAACCGCTCGTCTGTCCGACATATGTACATACAATAAAATTGGAGTGTCTGTTTATAAAATCAAAAGAATAATTCCAGATTTCGGAAAGATGATGTATTTGCGTTGCTGATAACGGAAATCGCATTTAAACAACTTTTATTGGTCTGTCCGTCGGTCAGTTCGCAAGCCGCGTTTGTTCCGGGTAATATCTTTAACGGAACTTTCACTGGAGGATAGCTGACATGGACGGCATATTATAGGCTACATGTTTTTAAATTCCGCGCTGTCAAAATGGCGACCGGACCACTATCTCTGGAACGGGTGGACCAATTTGGACTAGACTTGGACTGGAAGGAAACTGTTAAGAGGTTGATGAACACGGGAATGCTCTGCGCTTATGAATTTTGCGGGGACAGCTCGTATTCAAATAAAATCTAATTACGTTAACCACTTTTTTAATTGTCCTATGAATATGTCGGAGTAACGAGCGGCGGAGGTGTGAGCTCCGAAGGCGGATTGTTTACTTGATTGGTATCGTTTTGCATTATGGGCGTGTGTTTG